TCTGTAACCTAGCTTGAACTAATTGTGTGTAAAATAGTCATCGAGGTAATCTTCCACATTTCATTCTACGCATACTACCTTGCTTTGTTTCTCTTTGCTTCTTTGTTCAAAGATAATCGATCCTCCTAATTAATGTAAACAAAAAAAGAAAAAAAAAAACCTTATTTACATGTGTTCTTTTGGTAATCTTTTGCACTTATATGGTCTTCTACACCGAGTTTGAGGTTTCTGTCAACTTTTCCAGCATATCCTGTGTCCAGATTTATTAGAATTATTCTGGTGCGTGGGGGCTGTTTATGATCCTTTCAAAGATGTTGGTGTTGTCCTATGTAATTTCTAACTATTTCCTTTATGACTATACTTGTTTTACAAATACTAAACACGACTATATCTCCCACAGCGTAGTGACGGGGATTGATCCTAGTAAGTAATAAGATCTATCTACTTCCCTTTTCCATAAAAAGTTAGATCTGCGCGATTCGGTTCCTTTTCTGCATCTCACGGTCATCAGAGTCTTCGTTTAGTTCCTAATCTAAGGCAAGGATAAGAAGAAAGGATATGGTGATATCTATATTTATTGTCATCGATAAACTAATAAGACACTATAAGAGTGTTTGGTTTTTTATTTACGTTCTGAAAATAACTACAATTGAATGAGACAAAAGTGACCCAAGAAAATTGGAAAGTCAAGCTTGAATTGAATGGAGGTTTATGAGTTGTCAAAAAGTAAGAACTGACCAAAAATTTGTGAGATATATTTAATTAATTATAAATCTCCAATATATAGCGATCCAATCGGATAATATCATATACCTAAAATGAATCTTAATCTCAATCTCTAAAAACTAACTCAATATTCACCAACATCAAATCCTCCTATAATATATAGTAGAGTTTTGTCTACTTTTCTCTATTTCTAATTTCCTGCAATGAGAGTGAAAGTAGGAAGGACATTTTTGTCTTTAAAATTAATTAATTATTCTGTATAAAAATTAAAAATGTCAATATCAAGTTTTGAACCTAGGTTTCTTCAAACAAAGACAACAATCACAACCAATTACACTAAAGAATTTGTTGTATCTTTTTTAATACAAAACATAGACAAAGTGATACTCTGAAAATCGGAGGACTTTTCCATCATGAATAAAAAGCCACTAAGTCTACCGTATTTATTTTTATGGTGCTTGATACTGCAATTTTCATAGCAGAGTTTCATGTAGTTTTCTCAGTTCTAAAATTACTGCTCTCTCCTTAATTTTCACTAAAGGTCAATTGGTAATTGGCCAACATGGAAGAAACTAATTCTATTACTACGTGTTGTGTCCTTGCATTTTTCATTTATATTTAAATTTAGTACTTTTTATCTTTGTTCTTATCTCTTTCCAACTTCCTCTGAAATTCCCTTCATCGTGCAGTAGTTTGCGCTCCTTTCACTTCACAGTACAAAGCTGCCTTTGAAAATCAATCTTCTGTTATCTCTTTGCAGTACGATTTAATTGTTGGAGATTTAAACTGGGCAAGTAGAAGATTTCAACTCCTGTACCAATCCATGGCGAATAGAATGGAGTCCTCCAATAATATATAGTAGAATTTTGTCTACTTTTCTCGGGTTAATTGCATGGTTGGTCACTGAGATTACAAAAAACGTTCAAGTTTGGTCACTTGAAATATTTAAATCCATTTATGGTACTCAAGTTTACTGAAACCGTTCACGTTTGGTCACTCTCCGTCCAACTCCGTTAACTTTTGCTTACGTGGCGGTCAACTCTAAAAGTTGACTGTTAAATGTGTGACGTGGCAATATAAAAATAATTTAATAAATAAAATTTAATTTTTAAAATTTTTCACCTCATTTCTAACTACTAAAAAATAAAATAATTAATTATTAAAATCAATAACAAACCGCGAATCCTCATTTCCACCATCGGCCGCACACCCCACGACGATGGCGCAATCCACGCCGGAGACATGGACGACCCGCCGAATTCCGCTCCCGCATTCATCCTTGCCGCGGGGAAACAACCATCAATACCTCCGCCGGTCGCCGCATCGACCACTCTGTTTCCACCGGTCGCCGCTTCGACCACTCTGTTTCCAGATCGGACTTCCAATGTCACCAAATCGGTCGGCATTGGCATCTCGACGACAACCTTCTCGTTCTAGCGAGGGTAGCTCCCGCCGTCGCGGTCCGGCTTGGTTGACCCAGAATTGATGAACGGGTCGTTTTCACGACGGCGAACCCGTTGCAGCTCTGTTCTCTCAAAGCTTTACACACACAAAAAAAAAAAAAAAAATGGCAACCCACTTCATCATCCCGACCAGGGACGTTCTCTAGGCCGTAGGGGACATAAAATCCTACGACAACTGGCTCGCCTGCCTGAAAAACTACCTCATATCCCAAGATCTCTGGGATTTAATCGACTCCCCTGAAATTACTTACTTCCTGCCACTGTTACTACCGACGCCGCCGGGCGACGGAGGAAGAATGCGGCGGCTCTGCACACGATTCAGATTTCGCTGGGCTACGACGTGCTCCACGACATACGGGAAATCAACTCGGCGAAGGAGGCTTGAGATGCTCTGGCGGATATGCATCGGAAGAAGCTACTACCCAAGAACGACCCTGAAGCTGGAGCTGGAGCAGAGCAGCTGCAGCAGGCCGACGCTGGTAAATCTCGAGCTGGCGTGTTTAATTAACTTCTTAAATTATCGTGGTTAATTTTTCAGTGACATTCTTGCATCTTCTTAATGCCTTTTCGCTAAGTGTATGTTTATACCATTTCATGGACTAAAATGTTTGCGTTAAGTATGAGAATTACAACAAAGTTGTCATAATCTAAGAGCAAAAAGGGTGATTATAATCAATCGGAGACAAAGCATCGTAATCGGATATATATAACTTAGTGAACTCGAGTGGCGGCCGCCATTGAGATTCTTCAGGTGAATCTGTTAATTATATCTAAAACGCAGCGGTGGAGAAGAGAGGATTCGCTGATTGTTATTAGTTTTAATAATTAATTTTTTTAATAGTTAGAAATGAGGTGGAAATTTTAAAAAATTAAATTTTATTTATTAAATTATTTTTATATTGCCACGTCACACATTTAACAGTCAACTTTAGAGTTGACCGCCACGTAAGCAAAAGTTAACGGAGTTGGACGGAGAGTGACCAAACATGAACGGTTTCAGTAAACTGAAGTAACACTAATGGATATAAATATTTCAAGTGACCAAACTTGAACGTTTTTTGTAATCTCAGTGACCAATCATGCAATTAACCCACTTTTCTCTATTTCAAATTTCGAGAGTGAAAGTAGGAAGAGCATTTTTATCTTTACAATTACTTATTTATTCTATATAAAATTAAAAATGTCAAAATCAAGATTTGAACCCGGGTCTCTTCAAACAAAGACAACAATCACAACCAATTACACTAAAGAATTTGTTGTATCTTTTTTAATACAAAACATAGACAAAGTGACACTCTGAAAATCGGAGGACTTTTCCATCATGAATAAAAAACCACTAAGTCTACCGTATTTATTTTTATGGTGCTTGATACTGCAATTTTCATAGCAGAGTTTCATGTAGTTTTCTCAGTTCTAAAATTACTGCTCTCTCCTTAATTTTCACTAAAGGTAAATTGGTAATTGGCCAACATGGAAGAAACTAATTCTATTACTACGTGTTGTGTCCTTGCATTTTTCATTTATATTTAAATTTAGTATTTTTTATTATCTTTGTTCTTATTTCTTTCTAACTTCCTCCGAAATTCCCTTCATCATGCAGTAGTTTGCGCTTCTTTCACTTCACAGTACAAAGCTGCCTTTGAAAATCAATCTTCTGTTATCTCTTTGCAGTACGATTTAATTGTTGGAGATTTAAACTGGGCAAGTAGAAGATTTCAACTCTTGTACCAATCCACGACAAATAGAATGGAGTTCAATAAATGGAGTTGCAGAAGGAGGATTGGAAATTGACTTTTTGGTTGAAACATACGCCTCTTCAGATTGAAGATAGAGTGAATAATTTTTTTGATTGTACAATAGAGAGTGGTGGTTGTTGGATCTTTAGGTTTATGATATTTGCACCTATCGCAACCTATTTCTATCTTAAACGAGGAATCATTGATTGATTTATGGAAGTAGGTCGGTCGATTCTTTATTCAACCACTGGAACTGATAGAGAAGGAGTGTCTAATTTTGTTCTTTATGACTTTGATCGAGTATTAGTATATCGGAGGTAACCCTAATAATTGCGTTTGCTCTCAAGTTTTGATGGTCCCCTCTTAGCTGAGTTGTTAGTATATAGTTGGCTTGAATCAACAACTTTCAATTTCTTTGTGATTAGTGACATGTTGTTCCTAAAAGAAGAGCATTGAACATTTATGTAGGGTTGCGAGGTTTAAGATTTAGTTTCAAACTATCTATAGTTCGTGTGAGAATTTTTTTTGATAAATCGTGTGGGAATTTCAGTGAGCTTTTATACTCTATCTTTCCCGACAATCAACTAACCAATATCATTTTACCGGAGAATTCATTATCATTATGAAAAATGGGATCAATGATACATTTTTATATTTTATATTATTAAATGATAATGATATTTGTCCAAATGTTCAACCTATATATATTTTTAGTATGTATCATCTCGATCGAAAGATTATCAATAAAATTAAACGGTTTGATATTATTAAATGTAGCATAAAAATATAAATAATCAAATATGATTATGCCGACAAACCCATGTTATAAGCTAGTAGTAATAAATTCACAAATTCAGTAAGGTATTTAGGATTGGGATATACTCGTACAATACTTCCAGCATTTAGCTACCGTGGGAGAAACAGAAGTTTCAGTTTGAAAACTTGATAGAACGCCACCGCGTAAGAGAAGATGTTTTACAGCTTTATTTGGGTCATCTTGTTCATAGGGTTGACTTTAGCACCGCAGCACCGCCTCTTTCGCCGGAGTTATTGCCAGTGGCGTCGATTCCGACTGGAAATTCAATTAGGATGAACAGCAGACAGCCTCCTCCTACTTGTACTATTTTAATTGAGGGTCTGGACGAGTCGGGACTTCGCCACCAAGTCATAAGAGGAGGTCGAAAATTGACATGTGCTTCTCATTGGCTATGAGTTCCCCTTTATTTCCATATATCCAACTCCGATTTTGTGAAGGGGACAGCAAAAACCACCAACTATGCATATATGCACACTCACTGCATTATAAGAAATCCTACGAATGTATTTCAAACCAGTACTGAAGTCATGGACATTTTACACAAACAAGTGGACACCTTTTCTGGATAATGGTGTATATGCTCTCAGAATAAGCAAGTAAGAAGGATCAAGGTATCAGTTGTGCACTATGTTTCTTACATTGTGCTCCTCATCGGTTTCCCAACTTGTATACATAGGCAGGGTCCATAGGAAGGCAAGTGATTCAAGGCATATATGACACTCCAACTTAATCTGCTCCTTCATCCATATGTTGTCATTCAGTAGCGTAGCGCTTTGCGCCATATCCGAGTCGCCTACACCAGTATAAGGTAGACAAATACAATGTTTTAACATGAACATCATCAAACATCAGGTCATCATGAGAGTGATGGTGCTCGGTTAGTTTCGATCGATCTAATCGATACTTCTACAAGTCCTGAAAAATGGGAAAGAGACACTCACCTTGGGGTTAGGAGGATGTCACCTTAAACTTGGTAGACTTCACTTCTTTGTTGGTAGAATTCCCGAGAAAGTATTGCGATATACGATAAGGCATGTCGAATGATTGTAGCTTATTCTCTACATTGATGATCAGGGTCTTCAATCGAGTAAAAGGAGAAGTCTGGAATGCCTTCGATTCTTGAATCCTTTCAAGTATCTAGACAGCAACAACAACATCGCCAACAGAATAAAGCAAAAGCAAAATACGCACGAATACTCAAAACATTTGACAGCCAATTCATCACAATGACACGATCATTAATACAGACTACTGACTTGGATTCAGATTACCTTGAAGGTATTCAAATGTAGTTCAAGTGTTCTCGCACTGTGCAATCCTTGGAACAAGTTCTTGAACCTCCGGGCCGCGAGATCCACCGGAACAAGTTCAGCATTACCATCAGAATCAGAATCATCCCGATTCTCCGGAATATCGAGATCATGATACCCAGAGATTCGAATACAGGCCAGGTCAAGGCAAATCATATGCTGCAACTCCGCGAACTCCGGGCCCCTCAGCTGACCCGTATAGTAGAATGACTCGAGATTCGGTGCAAATATTTCGACCTTGGACAAGGAGTATAAGCGCTCAATCTTGAGATTCCGCAACTGGATCCCAGAGACTCTCAAGCAGATGGAGTAATAACCATCATCTTCCTCCCCGTCGCCACCACCAATCGCCCAGGAGCAATTCTTTAGGGTTAGATCCTTCAGGTTGGGGAAATCCGCGAACGGGTCGACCCGAACGGCGCTGGGGCTCCATTTCAGTGAGGGGAAACAATACGCCTTGCAGCCGTCCAGATGCAGAGTGGCAAGCACTCCGAAAGCAGCAGGGGAGCCGCTTCGGACGAAATGATTCCAGATCCCTCCTCTGTACCCACAATGGACGAGGCGCAAGCGTTGGATTCCACCGTGGGACGCCGCGTAACTGAAGAGCCTCCGATATCGGGTGGCCCCGACCGGTAGGTCGATATCATCATCACTGTCATCAATTTCCTCCTCATCGCCATTTGGGTACCCAATTTCCAAGCTGATTTGTTCGATTGCGGTGGCGTAACGGCGGGAGAGGGTTTCGGAGACGAATCGACGGAATATAAAGTGGGTCTTTAAGGATTTTGAGTAGAGATTGAGGGTGGGAACGCCTTTCCAGACGGATCTCCAACGCCGGGAGAGGAGGCTCGTTTGGACGGCGGTTTTGGAGTCGACCAAGGAGAGAACGCGGCGGAGGATGTGTTCGGGGAGTTCGCTGAACCTATCGATCTGGTGACGAGCTTTCTTCTTGCATGTGGGACAGCTGCCGCCGACCATGGTCGTTCAATTGGTTCGCCTTCGGCCCTTCGGTGCGATGAGGTCCGCAGCCTGACGAGGAGAGATTCGGCCGCGCGTTGGGGATGGGTGGAACTGGAAATGAAAAGCTCCAAGGTTAATTCCTATTGTATTTAATTATTTACGGATATAATTAATTAATTAATTAATAAGGTTAATATATTTGTATGCCCGAACTTTTGACATAATAAACATCCTGACAACCCTTTTCGATCTATACCATTATGACCTGAACTATACACCAAAGTAACGAAATTGGCCAACCCCGAAAATTGATAGTTATCTTGGATGGTCAAACGCGTTGACTAACGGTCAACACGCCACATCACCGCCAAGTCAGCACCTTTCATTTAAATTTTTTAATATTTTCCACCAATTACTATTTATTTTTTCCCTTTTGAATTACAAAAGAATTAAAATTGAAAATTTTGGTTTTATAATTTTATTTAATTATTTTTTTTCATACAATGTGGAATCCATGTCATCAATATTGGGTGACTGGACAATGACGTGGCACGTTGACCGTTAGTTAACACGTTTGACCATCTAAGATAACGGTCAATTTTCGGATTTGGCCATTTTCGTTACTTTGGTGTATAGTTCAGGCCATGATGTTATAGATCGAAAAGATTGGCGAGAATGTTTATTATGTGAAAAGTTCAGACCATACAAATATATTAACCCTAATTAATAATGGGGTTATTTACCATTCATGCCCAGCCCTAAGCTTTGCTGCTTTTACCGAGCAAGTTCCTGAACTTTTGCTGTTTGCAAACCCCACTACCTTCGCACTTTAATGAAAAAGGAAAGAAGGTCAATTTGACATTTAAATTTTCTTAATTTGGTAAGTGTTTGATGAATGTTATTTTTGGTCATAGTATTTTTAGTCATTTTGGTATATAATTTTTTTATGAATAATATTAGAGTTTTTTTTATACAATTGGTTAAATTTCATTCCCGAACGATTATGGTACAAGCTTGGCCTATTACACCAAATGAGAGATCAAATCAAGAATATGAACCCACTCTAAAGAGAGGGTGCTGCTCCTTGTTTCCTTAACGACCCAATTGACACATTTGTTGTTCCTGCGATGAGTAAAACCCACACGAATATGGACATTCTGTGCAAGAATCAGCTTCATAGAGTGGATCCAAACTTTCACTTGCCAAGGCCAGGATCTGCTCCGACCGAGTAAAATATTGATGATAACCAGGTAGTCGGAGTAGATGACAGAAGGCAAACCCGAATCCTGAGCCATCCTCATAGCAGTCAACAAGGCTTTAGCTTCCGCCATAATCGCTGAAGAACAAAACAAAGTCCCATCCTTTCTATCAATTACTTGTCCATGATGATTGCGAACGACACCATCATATGCAGCCACCTGCGATTCCGAGACAAAAGCTCCATCATAGTGAATCTCTTATTGGAGAAGGGAAGGCGGTGGATAAATTCTTGAACAGGATGGGGGAGGCTGGGGAGGGGAAGAGGTAGACGGCGGTGGGAGAAGGCCACTCCAATCATTAAAATCATCAATGACCTTAGATAAGGTGGGGTGAAGGAGAGGACGATTGCCACTAAAGATCCATCCGTTGCGGGCGTTCCAGATGGCCTAAAAGATAGCAATCACCGCCGCCATCGAACTGAAGGGGATCACATCTATAAGATGGAAAAGCCACATGAGGATAGGGAGTGAAGGGTGGGGAAGAGGGAGGCTAGCGAAGTTTCTTTTCCAAATGAGCACTGCATGTGGACAACCGAAAAAGAATGCCACACGCCTTCAATCTCCCATTCACAGAGAGTGCAAACCGGAGATGTGATCACCTTGCGAAACCAAAGATTCCTTTTAGTGGCCACCGCATTCCTAGTGATCCTCCAAATGAAGTTCTTAATCTTGGGCGGGAAGGACAAGCTCCAAAGCCATTTCCAAGTTTTGGACGTGCAATCTGGGTGGTTAGGATCCTCTGAGCCTGTCCTGTTTCTTTCATTGGTTCTGAAGAGATGGTAAGCCGAGTTGACTGAAAAAGCACCCTACTTCTCAGGATGCCAAAACCCACGAGTCATCAAGGTTGTCCATGCCAATTGGGATTCTCTTAATAGCCTCCACTTCTTCTGGAAGGTAGGATTGCACAATAAGATCAAGATTCCAATCACTTCCATCTTTTATATCAACTCGAAAGCCTTCAATTGTTGTCTTTGATTTTGTTGGAGCTTAAAGCCATGTAGGCTAAAGATCCAGGGATCATTGTCAATATCAATGCTTCTGCCATTTCCCATGTTTATCCTAGCACCTAGCCTTAGGATCTCCTTAGCCTGACAGATGCTGGACCAGATCCAAGAGCGCTTCCTACCTTTACCTGCATTCATAAAGTCAAAGTGAGGGAAATAAAGGCATTTGAGGAGACTAACCCAGGTTTCTTGATCTCCATTGAGAATTGTTCATCCGTGTTTGGCGAAGTTGAACTGATGGAAATCTTTGAACCCCATTGATAGCATCGTATTTGCACGTGTTTTCACTCTGGTTTCCTGCCCATTTTGGCTCGAATTGATTGTTCCTTGGCCTATTTTACGCTAGGTTGTGTTCCTTTGTCACATTTCAGGTCCTAGCACATAAAGTGAAGCATAGGCGCAAGTTTCAAGTCAATCAGAAATCAATTGACGATTCGGGAGAAGAAACTCGGGTATGACCTGAAGAAGAATGGATTTCTACCTCACTTTATGGACAAAGAATCATGCAAGCTTGTCATGAAAAGAAAGAGGACGAGACTACGAGCGTCTGGGATCAAACGGCGACTGATTCGGAGTCCGGACGAGGGAGAAACGAAGCATTGAATATAGGGGAACAGGTTCGGCAGTAAAAACACGGGCAGGAGGCCTTCAAAACACGGCCGTGTTCTGTGACCGTGCTTTTACTGCCGAGAGCAAATCCGAGTTTGGCAGACATGAGCTGATTACACGGGCAGGGCTGAGACAAAGCACGGGCGTGTTTTCACCAAAGCACGGCCGTGTTCTCCCTAAAGCACGGCCGTGTTTTCACCAACATGTGGCCGTGTAATTAACCCTGGCCAAAGCACGGGCGGGCTGAGGCAAAGCACGGCCGTGCCCTCGACAGTGCTTTGGCCAGTGACGCCCTTTTAGGCAGATTTTCAGCCAAAGAGAAGGGGATCGGATTTTCTGGGCAAAAACAGAGTTTTAGAGAGAGAAAGAGCGAAGAACAAACCCTAGGAGCTATCTTGGAGTGGATTTCTCATCATTGAAGCCCGGATTGCGTTCCTAGGAGTGAAGATTGACATCCCAGAGCAGATTTTCCTCATCTTTATGAGTATGACTACTCTGATTTCTGTTTTTCTTTCTCTCTCTATGGAGTAGAACCTCTCTCTCACTTGGGTATGAAGAACCCTAGTTCCTGATGTTAGGGTTTTGATTGTAATGACTTGGGATGATATTATTGTTTGATTTTAATCGAATGACGCGTGTTTCATGAATTGATTTGAGTCTGATCAGCTTGTTTCAATTTCTGCTTCAACCTGAGATAGATAGAATCTGATTAGGTTGTTAGAGCTTCTTCATTCGATAGTAGGAGATTGGCTATACGAGAGTTAGCCAGTTTACTGCTTTGTACTGGTGTTCTTAACGCCAGTAGTGGAGTTCTGTGTTTATAGCCTCAGCTTTCTATCCCGGTGAAGACTAGTCGTCTGCCGGGTAGTTAGACTGAGAGGGCTTGGTCAGCTTAAGAGATTCCAAGCTACTGTCGGATCTTCCGCAGTCTAATCAACAGTAAATCAACCCGGGGAATTGCAATTGAACCTAACTAAGGGGCTAGGGGGACTCAATCCCGAGTGACTCTTACCTGCTTTTGAAAACCGAACCATTTCCTGCTTTCTTACTGCTTTTGCTTTTAAACAACAAACACTCGACTTAGTTTGCTAGATAATAGAGAATCACGGAGTAAGCAGTAGATCTAGACCCCGGGTTGATAATATAACTTGCCTGTTACTGCATTCCCGGACTGCGATTACACTTGGTCGCAGTTTGGTGTTGTGTTCTGGCGTGTCAAGTTTTTGGCGCCGTTGCCGGGGACCCTCTAGGTTATTGGAGGAACGTGATAATTTGTTACTCTAGCTTTTATTTACTGCATTTTATCTCTTCCACCTGTGTGCCTTCACGGGTTGCTTCTACTGATTGTGTGCAGGTAGTGCATGACCCGTAGCCAGTCGGGAGATCTACTACCATTAGACCAGGAGCTTGAACGAACTTGTAGGAACTTCAAGCGGGCTCTAAAGGCGCGACTGGCTGCGGAGGAAGCGCTAACACAGCTGCAGTTAGGAGAAGAAGAAGAAGAAGAAGAAGGCGAGATGGGTGATCCGCAGAATCACGATGTGATCCCCGAGGAGCAGACCATGGGATCCTACTGGGCCGCTAGGGCTGCGGACATGAGGTCACCCATTCAGCACCCTCATGTCCCAGCCAACAACTTTGAGGTGAGCACCTCAGTGATCACCATGCTGCGCGGTTCAGTGGTGTTCCGTGGCAAGGAGGGAGAGTGCCCTCAATCACATCTCAGGCGATTCCACGAGCTCATCGATGGAATCAAGATCAATGGGGTACCAGCAGATGCCATCCAGCTGAGGTACTTCCCATTCACTCTGGAGGGGCAGGCCAAGGAGTGGCTAGACACTCGACCTCCGGGCTCCATCACCACGTTCGCCAACCTGGCGGACAAGTTCCTCACCCGCTACCATCCTCCATCCAAGACAGCTGCCCTGCAGAAGCAAATTACACATTTTGCTCAGGATGAGGATGAGACCATCAGGGATGCATGGGAAAGGTACAACAGTCTTTTTCTCAGGTGTCCCAATCATGGTTTTAATGATGCATTCAAGGTGGGCACCTTCTATCACGCTCTCTTCCCGGAGGACAAGCAGCTGATCGATTCGGTTTGTGGCGGGAACATGCTGACCAAAACCCCGCCACAGCTGAATCAACTCTTTGAAGAGATGGCGGAGAATGGTTATGATTGGGGCACTGCCAGGAGATCGAGGAGAGCATCAGGTCGGGGTGTGCATGCTGGGGGCACCCAGTCATCTGATTTGGTGCAGGTAGTATCGAAGCTGGTC